TACTATCTTAACGCAAAGCTTGGACTCATGCCTTTTCGAAGGGTCAATTATGCGAAAGTCGATACAAAGACTTTGAATTTGAACTCGTTTTATTTATTCCATTTGATACCCACCTCTGTGCTACAAGTACATCCGCAAATAAGGGTCCTGTTGAATTATAAAATGCTGTATCTTACAACGACATTTGTTCCAGATTAATAAAAGAAATACTTGTATAACTCTTGCGCCAAAGAAGTTATTGCATAGGCAATCTCTTATGTTGAACACAGATGAGGTTAGTACAATGTGATCTTATAAGAGAGCGTTTAGCAATTATAAAATTCAAAGAGTGAATTTTATCAGGGGCATTACCAACCTGATCCGAAAAGATATATATAAATAATCTTTTAAAAAGATATAGATCGATAGATTTCTTTTTGCAGTAAGGTTCATCTTGTACAAAGCCCATAGGTTACTCGAGGTAGAGGGTTACATTATGAGGCAGTTCGTACGGATAGGTGAGGAAAGTAACTGTTAACCCTAGACTTGAACAGGTTAAGATTGTAGGGATTGGGGAAACATCATCTTGGGAGTCGGTTCCAAAGAGCAGTGGCTCGTGGAAAGTAGCTGTTCGAATGGAACTTACTTCTCACCAACAGAATACGGAGGGAATGTGGGTGATTTGCTACTATGTAAGTGGCATGGAAGGTTGACGTGAAGGTTAGACCTGTGGGAACAAAGGAATGTAGCTCTTCCGAGCACTTTCCGTGAAAGTAGCGATAGAGCAGTGGGAGGCTCGCCATATCCCGCCTGTGAGAAAGAGATGTTGGAGGGTGGAAAATAATTCCTCACCCCCAAGGACTCGAAGAGGCCTTTGGACTATATCGAGGTTAAAAAGTGCCGTTTGTGCAGCTTGCACCCAAATATGGCAACAGTAGTTCATTCTTGGTCTGATCTATCATTTGTATATCATTGCTTGAACCGGCTTCTAATGCTATGGATAGTAGTCGGGGCTCGTTGGGGCACAGTACTATGGGCACAGAATATGTGATCAAGCGGCGCTATATCGAGTCTAATTTGTTACCTCTTCGTCACCGAGGCCTGTTGGTACAGTTGATATGACGCTTATACCCGACAGTTATTTTAAGACATTTTTATTTATTTATTTTTATGTTTATACGTCCCTTCTATAAATACAAATATTTAAGTAATTGCTCTGTCTATAGTAAACAGTAATACCGACATTTACATGAATGCCTGAGAAATTCTTATAGAAAATATGCGTCCTCCGACAGGAATCGAACCTGTATCCTATACGGAACCGTCATATAGCCTGACGTGCTTTTTCAATTTAGCCACAGAGGAGCGTTTCGGTTAACAAGGTCGATTTTACTGTTTTTAAACTGCAATTCTCCATGATGTTTTCTCGTACATTCATATATGCACGATGCGTATTTTGTCTTAAAATGTCTTATTTTAAGACATTTTTTATGCTTATCTATATCTATAAAAAGAACGTATAAACATAAAAACGTCTTTATATATATATATATATATATATATATATATATATATATATATATATATATATATATATAACGCTCTCAGGTATTTAACGGCTGCTTCAGTGAAGTGGTAAACTTGTCGATTTCAAATCTTTTCATCTGTACCCCATTAATTCTTTAAATAACGACCTGCATCTGTGCAAATGATTGTTATTGCAATATTTGGTTAAATTTTTTAAGCTCAAATATTGAACGGTGGAGTTCTACGGGTATTTTATAGTCTTGAAACTCACAAAGAGTTTATTTAATCATTAACTTAAGAAAATTAAATTAAAACTGAAAAAAGTTACATTTATTTAACAAATTTTTCCACTTAGATATTAATTTCTGAAAAAAAAAACCCCCAAAACTATTGGAAAATCTTTTTGATCCTGGTTCCGCGTACGTGTGACATCACACGTTAAAAGGCCTTGTGCCTATTTCGGATCAAGTATGCTTTCTTTTAGATAATGAGGAAAGACGGCTTGGAAAATTTGGTACTCACAGGACAGATTGAAGAGGGACAGAGGAAAACAACGCATAAACTACTTAGTGAGCTTGAGTAGATGGATGGCGGAACAAGGTTTAGGTGAGATAACAAAAAGACAAAATGTTTTAAGAGCTACAAAAGACAGGAGATTGTGGAGAGCCATGATCGCCTACACCCTGAATTATGACTATGACACTCAGAAATATAGAACATTTCTTTTTATGTTTTCAATATGGAATTTTATCGGCGTTGAGTGGCGAAAACTGCATTTACTTCGGACGAGTGTAATTGTTTTATTACTTTCTGAATAATGCAATATTTAGACATCATTCCAACGTAAAGATTTCAGCATCATCTAAAATCCATGATCGCCCTTATAAACAAATATTTAAAATTCGTCCATCCTTAGAATATTGCTGTCACATATGGTCCGGTGACCTTGCTATTTACCTTTAGATCCTTGATAAAATCCGGAGAAGAATCAGCAATATTATTGGTCTGGATCTGGCATCTCAACTTCAGTCATTTCCCACCATCGTAAGGTTGTATCACTGTCTTTTCTATAAATACTTTCATGGTAATTGTTTGGATGAACTATTATTGTTTCCCCCCCACCACCAAAGGCAATTAATTGTAGATATAGGGACTAGTTAGGATTTTCATAGAGAAGTTGAGGTATTATGGCTGATATAGCAATTATGGTAAGTAAGAATACGTTGTTTTGGTGTTAGGAATTTTTTGGTAAGTTTGGGTCAGTGATTTTGGCTAGCTAAATTTAAATTTAAGACAGTAGAAAACTGTCCTTTTCTCCTTTTTAGCCTTGGGCCACATTTTTTAATTTCTACAAATAAATATCCCTCTTCGCAATAGTACCTTGCCTTTTTGAATTTAATCGCAGCCCGAGAATGGGCGTCGACATCTCATCAATTTACAGTTGGGCTGGCCAGATGTAACCGTCAATTCTATGCTGAAAGTTTCCTTTTCTCGCACTTCTCACTTGTGGAACTTCCTTCCTGCTGTTTGGTTTCTGGTAAACTTTAATCTGTAAAAATGAAATGTAATGTCAATCACTATCTATTGTCCTCCTGATTACTCTTTTCTCTTCCCGCTCATTATTAATGTTTCTGTTCTTAATTCTTTCACACCCTCTACCCCCCCCTTGTGCCTTAGTGGCTTTACTGCCTTGCATTGGGTGATCCGGATTAAAAAAATAAATAGAAAGAGAATGAAATAATTTTTTTCCCTCACTGATCAATTTTGGATTGGTTGTTTCTTTCGATTGGTAACTGAGATGGATGATTCAAAGTCTTTGTTGATAATATTGCTGCTTTCTCCACATCATGTGTGCTGTTATTATTACGATCCTTTAAGGCATTCTCTTGTCTGAAAGGAAAAAAAATGATTTATTAAATTATTCATATATGCCGAAAAATCAATTCATTTATCTATTATGGTGAGTCATAAGTAATTTCCGTTTTGGGGAACAAACTGTAATGAAGATGTGTTATTTTAATTAGCCGTTCCTTAGACCAGTTTCTTATATTCTTTTATATGTGTCTTAGTGGCTTTATTGCCTTGATTGGGAACTGAGTAAGCACACGCGTCTGCGATAATGTTCCCAAATGATTTGTTATCAAGTTACATTAAAGCTGCGCAAACGGGTCTCGAAATATAGTAAAAATATACAGAGATAGACAGAGATGAACAAGCTGAGATATATAGAGACTAGCAGCATGACCCGACGTTGCCCGTCCTTGATTCAAAAATCGTACGACTCATACAGCAATCGCTATCACTTGACTTAAAATATTTTTGCCCTTCCTTGCCTCTAAAGGAGTGCCCTTTGCCATGCTGATGTTGCTACATGCCTTACTTCTTGCCAATCTCACACTGCGAATTTTTTCTAAGTTTTATACTAAACATTAAATCTGTTACGAAAAAAGAACTAAACAAAATGAACACAAAACGATCAGCTTTAAAAAAGGACTCGTAACTGGAAAAACCGAATGAAAAAAGAACGTTAACAACAAATACTTTTTCACACCTGTTTTGGTCCGGTTCCTTGTACCACGGTGATAGTCCAAGGTAGAACCAATAAAGAAGAACGCGAAGGTATGGAATAACACAGATATATTACAAACAGGAATATATACAGAGAAGTAGAAGTATTAGTATGGACAATCAGGTTTAGTAGAGAGAACAGTGTAGTCTCGACCAGTATCACTATTCCAATGTCTTGTAGTAATTGTCTGAACGCGACTCTGTTTCGGACTGCCTCTGACTCGACTCTTGACTCGACTTGAACTATAGAAAAGTGGGAGGCTCCCCACATCCCGCCTAAATGTTGGTTTAAGGCCCAATAATCACACAAGACACGGTTCCTCTCCGAGAGGATATCCGTTCATCGTGACTGGCAGTAGTTCGGATATGTATAGACAGATAGCGATGGAGATAAGAAGAGATTGCTAGCTAGCTAGCTAGCTAGATAGATAGATTTGCCCATCTAGATAATTAAATGAGTCAATTTTTTAATTTTATTTAAAATAACTGCCTTTTATGGTATTCATAACATTTTGTTTTTATTTTGCTCTTCGATTAAAAAAAAAGTTTGTTTTAATGGCTAAAATAGCATTTTGCAGCTCTAAAACCATTTAAACCTTTATTTTTTCAAAATATATTGTCGAGTTTATTTGTATGAAGAGGTTCGCATACGAACTGGATGCCTCGTTCTGCATTGACGATACAATAAAGTAAAAGCCAAATAAATACGTAGATTACATAATTGCTCAATGAATAATTCTTTTTAAATTTTAATAATGATGATAAGATTAAATTTTTTTGGAAGTTTCTATAGCAGCTTCTTTTTCTATGTGCCGTGTCCATTTAGGACCTGGACGATCATGGTTCTCCGCAACTTCCTCTCCTTTATAACCGTTAGTGAATTTTATATTTTCCTATATCTTCAAATCCCTGTTTTGCCAAGGTATTACGACCATATCACGTTGAAACACCGCTTCCCGTAGTAAAGCAACTTCGAGCCTGGCCAGTACTTAGATGAGTGACCACTTGGGAATACCAGATGCTGTAAATTTGCAAGTACCGGTGGTATAATGGATAATGGCACAAAATTCTTAATCGGAGAGTTCCAATTCCCGTCGAGTTGGTTTATATTCCTTAACGCGCAAATAACATTGGGAAAGGTATTAAACCACCTCTTCTCCCCCAGCTATGGGTTAATTAATCGGAATTGTATCACTAAATCATTATTATTTCTCCCCGCCCCCAAATTCTTACAATCTAAAGATATTTTCTGGCTTTAAATAACCCACAAAACATTGATAAGTCGTAGAAAAAGAATCAGTCTGTTTTGTCAACTATATACACATCCTCGTTAGTCAAGGGTTATGCTCTGCTTTCCTATGTCCCCCCATTGTATGTTTTGTGAGTGTCAAATTTTCTAAGCCCTCTTTTCTCATTTTGTGTCTTGAAAAGTATATGACTCTTTTGTTTCAATTTTCTCTAAATCTTCGTCGTTGCTCTCGTGTTCAGACCATGGTATTCTCAGCATCCTTCTGTAGAACTACATTTCTATTGCCTCAGGTGTCTTTTCCCTCTGTGATTAGAGGGTCCAGAATACACTGTCATATAGCAGTACCGATATTACATAACTCAGTACTCTTTTTTGTTGTTGTTTCCAATGAAATTTTCCTGTTTCTTAATACGTTGCTTAACTTCCGGAATTCCTCTTTCGCTCTCCCGTTACGATCTTGAATTTCGGTGTCACATTTCCCATGACTGTATGGCAATGTATAATAATATTTATAAATTTTTCGACTTGTTTATAAATTAATTATTTTTTCTTATTCTAATCTATTTGATTCCATGAAGTTTATTATAATTTTGCGATTTTTATCTTTACTACTTATGTTAATATTTTCTATTTTTCCAATTTAATTTATTTAACGACGACATCATTAAAGAACCATTTATAAATCCTTGTATCATATTACCGGATTTTTTTTTTTTAAATAATGAATGCAATGAGAAGCTGAGATAACAAAGCTAAGATAACAACATTTGTAAAGAATGGAGTATATGAAGAAATCCAGGTTCACTGTGTCGTGCCAGAAGATTCTTCATGTCAGAGTCCATCTTACACATCTACCATTCGTACATGCATTGTATATTGTTGCCATATCTAGTCTAGTGCCCCTGCTGTTCATCTCGATCAATGTAATACGTCCCGACTTGACATCTCGACTTCTGTCACTCTCTCATGAACGTGATGAGCCTTCCCTCTGCCTTTTCTACAAATATTTTCATGGCAACTATTCTGATGAGCTGTCTTATCCTGGTGCCCCGACTACATGAATTTAAGCGTGCTACTAAATTGGCATCTAGGTCCCATCATTTTACTATTGAAATAGTTAAATGTAACTGCCACTTCTACTCCAGCAGTTTGTGGCACTATTTAGCGTTTGGCTAACTAATTAAGCGTGAAAATTAAAAGCGAGAAATAATTAAGGCGAGAAGAAGCTATCACGAAGGACATACTGAGCGATGTTATTTTTTTAACAAAGAAAAGTGGTAAAGATTTTATTTTCATTTGCGAAGAAAAGTATTTTTTTTCGCAGAGGATAGGAAATTCGTAAGATCTCGGATCTGTCAGAATTAATTTATGCTATGACGCGGCGAATAAAAGATAGCAATCTGCCCATGGCAATAATGAAAATTTCAAATTGGTCAAGTGGCTCGCAGGGCAAAATGCTGGAAGATAATCGTAATTAGGTCGAAGATGCGACCGAGAAAAAGGATCAGCTGAGACCACCCCAAAGAAAAAGGAAGGGAAAAGAGAAAAAGGAAAAGAATAAACCATTAACTATCTTTCGTAGATATCATTTGGTTTTGGAAAGGGACACCTGTTTTATGTCCAGACCTGGACATGATAAAAGTTTGTTACCGGGACAGATGTTGACGATAGAAGTACGAAGGCGTTGAGGTTACAAAGAGATTCACCTGATGATTACTTGACGGAAATCTCGTTGATAAATTCCAGATGACATTCAGTTAAGATAGAGACTAATGACCACACTGCGATTCGTGGGGTTCTAGTCAAGGAAAGGAAAGAAAAGAAAAAAAGGAAGATATTTTTTTCCTTTGAGCGATAATTGTAAACTGAGGCCAGACTGGCCACACCCACGCTGCCGAGCGTTCATTGGCTGAGTGGTGGCGTGAGCGATAGGCGAAGGTAAATATATGAGAAGGAAGGGAAACCTGTTGACACCTCTGAGGGGATTGGTGTAAGATACCACTATGAGAAAGAAGGGAAACTTGTTGACGCCCTCTGAGGAGATTGGTGTGAGATACCAATACGAGAAAGGAAGAATTTGGGAGGACAATTCCCTTAAGAACCCCTCTAAAACAGAAAGAAATGGACTTCCAAAAATGGAAAGTGATAAATTTTCCTGCCCGAAAACAAAGAAAATCCTTATTACGGATTTGGAATTGTCGAGGAACCCAAACCACGACAGGCCCCCACCCGGTTTTGGTCGGCGTCCATATAAACGGAGTTACAGTGGCAGTTGATTAGACGCAGGCAGTTGGGCAGACGCAGACAGAGTGACAGAGCAGACAGAGTTGAGCTGTGAGCTCGCAGACCAGCCTCGCAGGAGCTGACCGAAAGATATCCACGCATTCCGACTTAGACTTCTAACCAAAAACAATTTTTTTTGAAGAACGACTTAGACTCACACCACCCAAACAAGCTTTACGAATATCGCTTGAAGATACCAAAAAACAGTTTCTTGAAAAACAACTTAAGATATTAAGACTCGCCTAACAAACGCAAAGTGTCACGTACCCATAGAAGCGGTTTGGGAGAAAGACGCAGTCCTGTATTCAGCAACCAGATATAAAGATATTTGCTATTCTTTTTTAACACATTTGAACCTTTCGAGTTGTTACTTTATTTTCTTTTACATATACTTGTGCAGTGTCACCTTTGCTCGAATTCGGCTTGCATTACGCCCGACGACTGATTGATTTTGTCTACCTAAGATCAAATCACAACATGGGTAGGTTAGACTAGAAATCAAAGCAGTTAATTCGGTAACCAGACGTTGGAGGCGAGCTGGGAACGACAAAGCTGATATCGAATCTAACCAGATTCCCATCCGAATCAGCCAAGGGTTAGAACGTCACATTTGGTGCCGCGACCAATACCAAGTCACATTGGTCGTCACAGGATAGCACGGGTGACGTCACAAATTTCTTTTCTTACGCTTCCCGACAGCGGGACTCCCTTCCTCTTATTTGCTTCCCTAATAACTATAATCTTCAAAAATTTAAACGTAACATCAATCGCCATCTGCTGTCGCCGTGATCCTCGTTTTTTTAATTCTTTCCTTAATTCCATCTATACACAACCTTTTCCCTCATTTTCACTTTCTGTAACTCCCCCCCCCCGCAAACTAGTGTCACTCCTGCCTTGATTGGGTGAAATGCTTAAAAAATGTGGGAAATATTTGTTGTATTTGCAGGAAAATATGGATATATAATATGAATCAATGTTTTCGATAATTGATGTAAAATCGGAAATTTGCGAAACATATATCAAAGGAGTTTTGGTTATTTTTTCAATCATTTTACCCCAAACAAGGCGATAATGCCACTAAGACGCAAAGGCTTACTGGGGGTGAAAGAAAATGAGAAGACTTTAGAAGGAACTGGAAACCTAATCATAAACATGAAACAATGGATAAATCTTTACTCCAGTTCAAAAGACGGGGAAGGAGTGTGAACGAGACGATAGTTGAACATGTCTCCATTTATATTTTATAAATATATTCAGCGCGGTCATATGTAGTGGTCGATTTCAGTATTGTTACCAGAGATAATATTGTTTATTTTTTCTTTTAGTAGGGCAGTGTTATTTTCCATACTTTTAAGAACATCTTCAAAAATGAAGAACATCTTCAAAAACCATTTGTAATTGAGAATCATAAACCTGACCAGAAATTGAATTTTTTACTCTATAATAATTATATTTATATTATGGTTTTTAGAATTTCTTTGTTAAAATAGCTTTTGTTTATTATTGCATAATGCGCTGTAAAGTTCGTCTTATTGCAGACTAAATACAAAACTTTGTTTATCCAGGTAACATGCATGAGCGTAAATCGAATAGGCATTAATGCGTATGTGTATAAATCAGTTGTAAGAATTCGTATTCGATAAAGATGCAATAATGAAGAGGAATTCTGCCACGGGTGGTTGTATATGAAGCACTTACCTTTTGACGGAATAAATCGAACAAAACACAGCGGACAGGAAAAATATAATAGACAAAATCGCCAAAATCCACAAGGTATAATAAGAGATCATCTGTAAAGAAATGAGGTGGATTATCAAACTTGACGGGGAATGAAAAGACATTGCATTAGAAAGCAGAATATGAATCAATACAAAGCATCTTAATATTCACGGAGTAAAAAGAGGAGATCTCCTTTTTGAAATGAGGTGGATTATCAGATTTGGCAGAGAATGAAATGACATTGCATTCGAAAGCAGAATCCCAATTAGTAAAACACATCTTAATATTCACGGGGTAAAAGAGATCATCTGTTTTGAAATGAGGTTGAAAATTTGACAGAGGTGGATTATTCAAATTTGAATCCCAATTAGAGAATGAAATTCACATTGCATCTCGAAATTATCAAATTTGACAGAATCATTGCATTCAAGAATCCCAATTAAAAAACACATCTTAATATTCACGGGGTAAAAGAGATCATCTGTTTTGAAATGAGGTGGATTATCAAATTTGACAGAGAATGAAATGACATTGCATTCGAAAGCAGAATCCCAATTAGTCCAACACATCTTAATATTCACGGGGTAAAAGAGATCATCTGTTTTGAAATCCAATTACATTGCGTTGAAATGACAAGCCAACCAATTAGTTCTTAATATTCACGGGGTAAAAGAGATCATCTGTTTTGAAATGAGGTGGATTATCAAATTTGACAGAGAATGAAATGACATTGCATTCGAAAGCAGAATCCCAATTAGTAAAACACATCTTAATA